AAATGGAACTTGGGTGTAATTGGCCCAGTGAGGAGGGTGGTGCCATCCAACATCACCCTCTGTGACACTGAAAGGAAGAAGAGGTGTGTTAGCAACACCCGTGGGCCTTTCTCTGTGCTTGTTGCAAGGCTTCATCTTACAAGAGGTTATTGCCTTGAGTAGACCTTCTGGCTGAAGCATAAGTATCCTCAGGAAGAGCTGTTAGAAGTAGTATTATTTGCACAGTTGGGAGTGTAAGACAGTGGGACATCAAAGGAATTCTCTTCATATTCCTTAGATCAGGGAGCGAGGAAGCACAGCTCGTATCTTTTGGACACCCAAGAGTGTTAGCCATGAAGTCTAACACACAATGCCTGACTGCTCACCCATTGCATATTAATTCAGGTCATTTTCAGGGCTCTCAGACCCTGAAATACAGTTTAGAACGTTTTCATTTTGTTGGAGTGAGCAAACATAGAAGAGTATCAAATTCCACCCAATTTACGCTGGAAGCAAATAAGAGGTTGGCTGGGTATTTTGGGAATGCCTTTCAAAACTCCACATGGAACCCAACCAGTGGAAAATTTCGAAGCCATTTCACCCAGGGACACAAGCCTGATGCATTTCTGCACGCTGCATGCATGCTGCAGGCTCCCCTTCTTGGAAGCATGGCTCCAGCTTGACCAGCTAAGAGGCTGAATTCAGCATCCTGGTAAAACTGTGCTATGAAAGCAAGTTCTGCTGGGACTGCAAGAAGGCACCAAACCCCCTTTGGCTGCTAGAAAAATTCCTGTGAGATGGTTATTCACAGAAGATGCCAAATCTGACCCAAATGCTTAATGCTGGCTGTGAAGCCTTGATGGTGTGTAGCAGATGCACCATTTAAAGCACTTGAAAATCCATCTGGGTGAAGGGCTGTGAGAGCGGCTCTGGACGTGGGCTCTAGGTGGTACAGCTACCAGGTCTCCAGTGCTTTTCCTTCTCGTGCTTCTCTCTGCCCACACCTCAGCAGTGTGAGGCTTCAGCCCTTCACCTCTTCCAGCTCTCAAGAGATTCTGCAGTTCTCTGGGACCAGCTGGAAACTGGATTCCAGCTTCTCAATTTCACCAGGAGGAGATCACTGGTGTGATGAATTGGGCTTCACTCGGCTTCCCCTTTGAGAGCAGCTGGCTAAAATGAGTGAAAAATGATGTGAAAACAAAGGACTTTTTAACTTTGATACTTTGAGGTATCAAATAGATTGAATGATGTGTAAAATCCTCACATCTCCTGAAGCCCACCCACGCACGTTGCGTTTCAGTCCTCGGCCTCTCTCTTTCATAGCTCAGACGTCTCCAGATTGTTGTCCATCTGTGAGATGGGAGGAATAGCCTGTGATGGTCTCAGGGCCCACGTGATGTTCAGAGTGCCCTCTACATCTTCCCCCTCCTCAACCTTGGGTCTAGCTCCCTTACGTTTGGGGTATTTTTTAATTCCTCTCTCCCTCCAGGCTTGGCAGAACAACGATGTCACTTTGGAAGGGACTGAAGAGTCTCTTCTTGGGTCTCTAAACCTGGCAGTTGTGTTTGAGGGAATGCTCTTTATCTGAGCAGTAACTTTTCTGCTTGTATTTCCAAGGGCTTTTTGGTGGTCTCCATTGAGTTGAGTGCCCAAGCATACAGCAATGCAAAACTCAGAGCAGAATGAGTCACACCCCATGTCTGTGGTTTTATAGATTGTCGCATTTAGTCTTAAGTTATTGGAATAATTACAGATTTAATACTTCCAATGACATTTAATGCCTGTAGAGACTCTTAGGAGGTTAGTCACTAGTAGATATTTCCCACTAACTGAACGTAGATCACAGCCCTAGAGATGACATCATGTTTTTCTCCTCGTTCCACACGTAAGATGATGGAGGGTCTGCCAGACTAACGTGCTGCCTGTAGGGCCTCATACTTCCATTTGCTGGTGAGAGGGGAGAAAAATGAAAATTCTCTCTGTTCTTTCATTACAGCATTTTGGCACCATTTTCATGACTTTCTTTTGGCCCTGCCCTGGTTCTGTCCACCTGACTCTGAGATACAGGAGCAGTGCATGTGGGGTTTTTTTTTAAATTAACCAGTATTTTAGCCTTTCCCAGCTAAGAAGATCTTGATGGGAGGGATAAATCTGTCACTCGTTAGTATTTTTGTACTGGAGTGTAGAACCTGCCACGGTACTGAGTTCTTACAGCCAGCTTGGGAACTGTTTGTAGAGGTAAATTATGGGAGGTTTATTAAATTGAAGAAGGTGGAAGGAAGTTCTCCCTAGCCTGGGTGTCATCCCACACCAGCACTCCCTGGTAGAAGGGAAACGTTCTGAAAACGTGCAGCTCTCTTTTCACCCTGCCACTTAAAATTCACCCAGGATTCTTTAAACTCTTTCCACTGCTCCTCTATACAAATTCCAGTGTGGACAAACTAAAACTTGCTGTAGGGTCAACTTAACCTCCCTACGGATTGTGCATGTCAATGAGCAGCAGAAATAGAGCTTGTTCGATAGCACTCGTGTGGATGCTGAATGCATTTCCAGGAGGATTTCACACTAACTCTCTCTTCTGTCCCCTACCTCAGGCTCCTAGGCTGGATGAAAACACAGTACACCACAACTCTTTTTCAAATATTGCTTCCAATAAGGCATGGGGAGGTGGGAGGTGGGGCCTGCCAGGTGTTGCCCTCCATGCGTGTGGTCGTTGGTGTACAAAAATAGGAGGCAATGGGGTTGGGAGGGGAGGGTTCAGGACTGTTGGCTGCACCTGAGTGCAAAAAAAAAAGGAGATAGCAGATTGGAACTATTAATGGAGTATCCTGGAACTCAGGTGAGTGTCAGAGAGGACGTTCCCACCACAGCTCAGAGTTGGTGGGAACATCTCCGAGCGGGAGCGTTACTCCAGGTTAGGTGTTTAACTCCATCTCTGGGCACCTAAATGCCTTCCACGTTTGTCCAAGATAATCTGTAGGCTCCTCTTGTCATTTAGGGTTTGGAAGAAGCTTTTCCTGATGACTCACACAAGGAGGATTTTGCTTAAATGGACTTCCCATATGCCAGACATATGTGTTGCACTCAGCTACCTCACTTAGAGGAGAGGCACATAAAATAGCCTTTCAAAAGTCAAGCAGAAGGTTCTTCCCTTAAAATTACTTGGCATAAACCTTTATGAGTGCCCCAGATCTTGATGGTACAAATTTAGGTTTAATCTAAGTGCAGCAGAATGCCAAGACCAAGCTTCTGGTTTTTGGCTGCTGTGCTTTGATGGGCAGATTGCAGCAGGGGTAAGAGGGAAAATGTTAATTTGGGAATTTCTGCACAGAACGAGCTCCCCAGATTTTCAGGGTGCAAATTTGGTCAAAAATCACACTGAGACTGGGCATCTGGGTTTCAGCCCTTTCCCCTGATGGACAAACTGCAATGAGGTAGGAAGAGGAGCACCAGGGAGTAGCTTCTGCAGAGGACACAGCCAGGAAGAGCAGGACCTGCCGTTGTTGTGTTCAGTCCTTGGGAAGAGTTTCTCTCTTTCAGTTCACATACTTTTTAATAATTCTATTACTTCAAAATTATTTAGCAATACGTGTCTGGGAGACCATTTTAGAAAGTGATTTTTTTGTTGTTGTTTTATTCCTCTGTGATAGTCAAAGAGAGTAAATTGAGACAGTTTATGGTCTAAATGTGTTTCATGTTCTCTTACGTGTAGGCTGACATGAACTGTCTGTGTCAGTTTTCAGTATGTATGGGTGCAGACACACACAGAAGCACCTAGACTCTTTTCCAGGCATCTACAGGATTTCACCTTTTCATGTTTGTTACCTGAAGGCAAGTAGTTGCTTTTGGGGCTCTTAGATAGGTGAAACATTGGGAGGTTTGCTCTATTGACGTGTTGCATGGTGGCTGCTCAACAACTAGGTTCTTAGCCCAGCCCTCTCCTAGGAGATGTTTCAGTCTTCAAGACAACTTTCTTTCTACTCAAGGAGGGCAGAAAGGAGCTGCCTGTGGGGCCTACTCATTTATGGTCACAAGGAGGGGTTGTTTTTTTTCTCCACTGAGCAGCCCTCCTTCTGGAAACTTCTGCTGCTGAAATGCTCGTGCATTTGGGCTCTCTGCCCTTTCAGCACCTTCCAAATAGGATATTTGTACTTTTTATTGTCTACAGCTGACATTTTTTGTGGGTGGCCTTTGCTGGAGAGCCTAAGAGCATTACAGTCTAGGTGGCCTTGTCAGCAAATAGTTTATTCTCCTTTGACTGACCTAGTTCTGAGGACACTTGGGCTGTTATCTTGATGTTGGTAAACTGATCAACAACAGCAGAGCTCATTATCCATAGAGGAGACTTGTCTTGTTTAATACACTGTTACTGGAGAGCAGAGACTTGAAAACCATCAGTGAGAAGCTGGGAAGGGTTAAGCCAATGTGAGCTTTGATTTCAGTGGGAAGTCAGAGAACGCTTTGAGTTGGAAGGGACCCCAAAAGGTCATCTAGTCCAACCCCCCTGCATTAAGCAGGGAAGTCATCCCATAGGGAGTGATTGTGTGCCTGGGTCATGGAGGCTGGGGGGTTTTTCCTTAATATCTGGAAGACTCCCCTACCTTTGAACCTTCTACACACAGTGCTCATGACAGAGAACATCTCGTTCTGTGTCCACCAGCACTGCACAGAAGAGAATTCTCAGCACCAAGATGAATGTCTGGAAGGTTCTTTTTGAATTTGGTAGCTGAGCTTCCACAGGTCAGATGTAGAAGCTTCCACGTGTTTGATGACCAAAAGGAAGATAGCAACTCCTCTAATGAAAAGGGATTTAGTGTCCTCCCTGAGCAACAGCAATTCTTTGGTTTGAGGGTGGGACAGCTGAAAAAAACGTGACGGTAGGGGAAGGAGAGTCCTGTGCTTTTCCAGTGGCAGCCTCCCTCCTCCTCCTCACTTCATGCCTGTGCCTGTGGTGGCTGGTGTTGAGGGTGGTTCCTCAGCCAGGTTTTCTGAGAGCTGTTTCCCTTGTTGTGTCCATTCAGGTCTCGGTCAATCAGCGGAGCGTCGTCCGGGCTCTCCACCAGTCCACTCAGCAGTCCAAGGGTAAGTGGTGCTGCTTCAAGATCTGTTGGTCCAGTTCACTCCCACATGCTTGGTGCTTTTCGACCTCTGTTGCTGCAGAGCTGTGGCTCTTAGCTGGGATGTTTTGTTTTTCCTTGGCAGCTTGTAAATTTTCCTGGGTGGGGAGGTACTCACAGATGCAAGCAGAGGATTGCTCAGACGTGTTCCCTGCAGCCTTAGCAGGGATCTCACTGTGCCTCTGCCCTTTTTCAGTCTCAAAAGCAGGTAGAATACCATTGCTACGACTAAACACTGCCATAACCAGCTGAGGTCTGGGTGCAGAGTGGTTTCAGACCAAATACCAGCAACCATTTCACAGCTACAATGCCAGTTACAGCTAGCTGGGTTCTGCTCGCCTCAGCTTGTGGTACAAAGAAAACATAAATTACATCAAAAAATTATTACATTAAGAAATAAGAAAAGAATTAGAGAAATCTGAGGGGTGGCAAAATTAAAAGGAAAGTAAGTTGACTAATGGAGGTGAGGAAAGAACACTCAAACTCCTATAAATAAGGTGCATTCATGTGCCATTACTTAATGTACAGTCAACTAAATGCCAATACTCAACTGATGCTCAGCTAGTACAAAACATCCTTGATAGTCCATCTGTTGGAAAGTTACTAAGCAGTCTAAGTGCAGTGAGGGAGGCCACCCTCTCCTTGGTAACTGCAGGGATAGGAGTGAGTTTTCCTGCTGTCTGACAAAGTCAGCTCAGTCACTTCAATCCTGCAGTCCTTACACAAGCCGAGACCCTTCAAGACATCTGTAGGGCTGTGGCAATCCATGTCACCTCATTGTCTGGCCCAAAGTCTTGGGAGGATGGCTACATCCTTTTCATGACTTCCTGAGAAGATGCCATCCCCCGTTGGGAAGGGATGTATTCCATGTGTTGGGATGACACTCCTGGATCTGCTGTTAGGTGCATGAAGATAACATCAGCATTCCAAGTATTTAAAGCTGTAATTCCCCAATAGCATTAGGTGTAATTCTTATGCATAAAGACACACTGTTGGGTGTCAGTTTATAGGCTAGGAAAAATTCCAGCTCTTTGCTTGATTAAACTGTTTTGTGAAACATATTCTGGGTTCCTATCAATTGCTCCCATGTTTTGCATTTGGCATAAATGTGTTTGTGGTCTCCACTGCATCTTAATCATGCCAGGAACCAGTGAAGATCCATATCCTTCCTCCTGCACTGGGACTCCTGGATGTCAGTGGAACAAAGCAGAGAGCTGGGAACTCTTACACCCCTGTAAAACGTGCTGAAAAAGAGCATGGAAAAGGTTTTGTGCAGAAAATAAGCACCTGTTGCAGCAAACCTGAATCTTGATCTCATTAATTGTTCTCTTGGGATCAGTTTGTGACATCTCAGTAGGACTACATCAAAGAATAAGGATGACAAGATCTTCTTCCATAGTTGCTGTGTCATACTCTCATTACTTAATAGGCAGTTGATTAAATAGTCTTCAAAGGGATTTAGCAACCAGCAGATCACAGCAATATTAAGGCAGGTCAAATTTGAGGCTTAAAAGGAAACGTTGGATTAAAAGTAACATTATTTTTTTAAATGTCCTTACCTGTGCTTCTAATAGCACCTTAGATTATTGAAAGAGAACGTACTTTAAAAAGCAAATACACATTTCACTACATGCACTGCTCAGGTTCAGTTCTACCTTAATTCAACAGCAACCAAGAGTTCTTAAATCTCACAAGATCTTCCTAATGGCGTTCCCCATGGCCCCAGCTGAAATACAGGCCTCATCTTGTGCTTTATTTCCTTATTAGAAATGTGGTAATTAAGGGGGCCCATTCAGATTCTTAATGACTTAAGTGGGAGTTGAATTTGACTTGCAAATTTGCTTCTCAAACCATCATAACCATAAGACACAAAAAGTGCAAGGAAACATTTGCAGTCAACAGTCGTTGACTTTGATCCATTGGTGTCATTTGCAAATGGTTAAGAGCCAGAAGCTGATAGTGATTTCTATAAATTCACCACTTTCCTCATCTTTTCCCCTTTTTTTCTCATGGGTGATCAGAATTTGCCAACGTGGCAGACTGAATTTAATGTTATGATCCTAACAATGATACAAAGAGTTTGAGGTAGGGTTAGGCCACCAAAATGGGAAGAAAACCAGCAAGTTCTTTAATTATAAAACTTCAAGGCAGGCAGTTTTAAGGATCAGCTCTTAAATACATTTCTACATTTTAAAAATAGGACAGTTTTGTGCTGTTCCATCAAACCCAGCAGGTAAACTCACTGGTGAGTGTGCTTACCTGGGACTGAGATTGGTGGCATGGTTACATCTACATGGTCTGTCTGGAGAGTGCTTGGGTACAGCTTTTGGGTATTAAGAATGGATAAGAATAATAATAGTGGTGATAAATAACATATAATAGGTAATTATTTATAGAAATCAGGGTCTGAGTGCAGAGAAAAACTAAAGATCTTGAGTAGTGACTTCTACTTGTGTTCTTTCTGTCTACTTGTGTTCTACTTCTACTTGTGTTCAACTTCTGCTAGTACTTGTAATCTAAGGAATTAACAGCAATGTTTTGTAAGGACTTTCATTTTGATTTAAATGTGATTTTTAGCTTACTAATATCCCTTTAAAAGGCTTCTATCCTCCCAAGTCCCTCTTTTACTGTTTGCTGCCAACATGTGAATGGTTTCCCAAAACGCCTTCAGCCGTGTAAATGTTCTTTTTGGGGAAGAAAAAACCCAACTCATAATCCCATTCCAACAAGGGATGGATTATGAACTTTGGTTGTCTTCTCCTTTACGACCTGTCGTACCAAACAACGGCCTCCCCCCAGAACTGGGACTGAATGGCAAATGTTGCTGGGACTTTATGGCAGAAATGGGGACTGCCGAGCTGTCCTGCGGCGCCACGAGGGACGTTGCAGGAGAAGCATAAAGTCTGATGGATGGGAAGCACCATCTCTTCCCAGAGAAACAAATTTGCCAGGCCTCTGTGAAGTTCTTGTAGCTCTTCACAGCTGGAACACCAACCCGAGCTCCTGTTTCGTTTGGGTGTGTGCTCCAAAGCCTCCAAGTGAACGCTCCCCAAGCCAGGGGAGGAGACGTGGCCACGTGGCATCACTCTCCCAGGCTGTGAGGTAGCCAGAGGTGGGGTAGAGAGGATGGAAGAGGTCCTGAGCGGTGTGTGCAGCCACCCCTGTGTATCACCTGCCACTCCGTGTGTATCACACGCCTGTCTGGGGCTCATCTCTCCGCCGGCTTTGCGCAGAGGCCACTTGGAGCTGCAAGAGGTGGTCCCATTCTTGGCACATCTCAATTTGTCTGTGGCTTGAGTGGTTCTTCACCCCCTCCCTCACCTCCCCACAGCATCGTGCTTCTCTCACTGCAGGGCAATCAGAACAATCCCAGAGAGATGGCATTTCTCTCTTCTTTTTTTTTTTTCTCTTGGTTACTTCCTTTCATTTTGGTTTGGTTTGGTTTGGTTTGGTTTTTTTGGGGTGTATTGAAATTTCTTTTTTGGTTTTCCTTTTCCTTCCTTTTGACTTTTCTTTCTGTTGTTTTCCTTTGCTGACACGTGGTTGGTGAATATGATGAAGGCTGTTATGACACTGTTGTTCTCGCTGCCGCCGCTGTTGTTTTATTATGCTGTGTTCCCAGCTAACTGCATGTCTTTTTTTTTGTGTTTTTTTTTTTGTGTTTTTGTTTTTGTTTGTTCGTTTTTCGTTTCTTTGCAAAACCCTTTTCCCCTCCCTACCCCTCACTGGCCCTTTCACCTCCATCTCTGGTGTCTCCTCGTTGACATGGTGCCTCTTTGTGCCTCGGCTGGATTTGGTTCTTGCCTTTCCTTTCCTTTCCCTGCTCGCCCGCTCTGTGCGTGCCTCACTGTTTTTGGTGTGCATGGACACCCTGCGTCTGTCTCGTAGCCTATCAGAAAGTTCTTCATCCCCCCTCAGACCTCCGACCTCCCTTTCTCTCCCCGACCCCAAGTCTCCTTGGACCCTGATGCTTGTAGGAACGCCTCCAGGCCTGGACATGTCCTCCAACCAAAGCCAGCACTTCAGCCCAACCCAAAGACGCAGACTTTGCCATCCAAGAGCAAATTGGCCGAAAAACCACTCCAGTCAACTAAATCCAACCCGCTCCCCACCAGCAACACCAGCTCCCCCTCCTCCCAGAACCCCCCTGGGCAGAACGCCCCGGGCCGCGCGCCCGCCGCCGCCTTCCACCCGCAGCTGGTTGGCCCCAAAGTCCAGCCCAACCCTATGTCTCCTGTTAGATTGCTCCCTTCTAGTACTGACCCGAGCACCAAATCTATCCCCATCATACAGGTCACCCCTCACCCCTCTCCAAGGGGAAGTCCCCTCCCTACCCCCAAGGGGACACCTGTCCATACGCCAAAGGAGAGCCCAGCAGGCACACCCAACCCAACACCACCATCCAGCCCCAGCATTGGAGGAATGCCCTGGAGGACACGGCTCAACTCCATCAAGAATAGTTTCCTGGGGTCTCCTCGCTTCCATCGCCGGAAATTGCAAGGTGAGTCCAGGTTTGTTCTCTCCTACAACACAGGAAAGGTCTCTCTTGGGCTTCTCCACTCATTTTGCCAGCAAACCCAGAGCTCTGCTCATTCTCCTGTGGCTGTACTCTTGGTTAATGGAGGTTTTCTTACCTCCTGTGGTCACTGGTGTAGAAATCTCCTCAATGCAGTGGTTTCATACCTGCTGGGCTTAGTTCAGCTTTCACAGCCTCTGGAGGGTTGAGATGTGCAGAATTTCCTCCCTCCAGCTCCAGGTGGCTTTTTGCATTCAGGCAAAGGGCACCCAAAATCACGTGTCTTATCCTCAGATGTCATCAGCAGCTATCCCCACAGCCAGGGGTGTACTGGGGTGTGATCCCATGGGAAAAGAGGATTACAGCCATGGAAGAGGTGGATTCTTGAGCTGTGCTGGTCAGGGGAATTGTCTTTGAGATGGTGGGAGAATTCCAGCAGTGACTGAGCTGCGTCCAACTGGGCTTGGAAGCAATTCCAGAGCCATCAGTTTGTCATGGTGTTTGAAGTGCACCTCTTGAAGTGCACCTCTTGATCAGAAACATTGAGCTGGAGACGTGTGAGCGACGTTCAAATGCCAGAACTAGTTTGCAGAGGCAGGGGGCAAACTCCAGAGGGTGTAATGCTGGAACTGTTTTATTGGTATACAGCAGAAAATTCAAGGTGTACTGAACCCAACTTCTTTTGTCCCTCCCTCTCTTCGGCTGCGTGTGCACGGGCAGTACCTACACCTGAGGAGATGTCTAATTTAACCCCGGAGTCATCCCCAGAGTAAGTAATTTGCCAGCACACTACTCTTTTTTTCTACCACATACCAATGTCATTTCCTTGCCTGAATGTCACCAGGTGACATATTCCTGTTGTGGATCAGTATCTGGCTGTAACTCGTTATCCTGTGAGGGGGACAGAGATGTGAAATGGTTCTTCTGTGAAGAACCCTGGATAAAATCCACACCAGCGGGGTCAGCAGAGATGAAACAGTCTCCCAGTAACCACATTTCCTCGTGGCTTGCTGAAATATTGGGTTTGTAACACGTTCCTTCCCTCTTCTTTCATGTGGTCGTCAAGCAGATAGCTCCTGGGGAGCAGAGAGGATAATCCATGGCTTACCCTGGCATGAAAAAGTCTCCCTCTTAGCCCAGGAGAGTTTGCACCCTCAGGATAACTGCTGAGATCCTTCAGAGGGATCTTTGGCTGCGATGGGGAACGTGGTGCTAATTTTGGGCAGCAGCACTGGGACCTGCAGAAGCTGTTTCAGATTCAGGCTGGTCCCTAGAAGTCGTTTTTAGCGCGTCACTGCGTGGCGGGTTGGGAAGCCCCTGCCAGAGAGTGCTGCTCCAGAGATGGGCAGCAGATGCCAAATGATTCCTTCTTTATTTTCACAGCTTGGGTTTGTGCCCCCAGTGCCCACCCAGGCAACTTGGCCTTTTGTCAAGGAACTCGTGTGAAATATTCATGAGCTGTAGATGGGAAGTTTGGGCCCGGAGTTTGGGAGCTGGTGGCCACGGTGTTGCCTTAATGATTTTGATCTGGTGTGAGGTGGGCACTCTGTGTCTAATGCTGCAGATTGGGGAGGGATACAGGCTTCAGGAAAGGGAGAAGGAAAGGACCATAAAGGTTAGTAAAAGAAATCCAGGAAGAAAAAAAGGAATAAATTATGTTTTCAACACTTCAGAGCGTTTGGTAATAGGAAGGCAGGAGAGAATTTCATAAAATCAACACATCCTTGTCAAAGAAATGGGTTCTGCTCTCATCTCAAATGTTTTAAAGGCCGTTAAAGCAGAAAACCTTCAGAGTTAAATTTCTCTCTCTTCTCTCTCTTTTCTCTCTTTTCTCTCTTCTCTCTCTTCTCTCTCTTCTCTCTTCTCTCTCTCTTCTCTCTCTTTTCTCTCTCTTTTCTCTCTTGTCTCTCTTGTCTCTCCTACCTCTCCTTCAC